TTTTTTTTTTTTTTTTTTTTTCCTTCTCTCAGTGATTTAAATATCCAGTTCCCTATCCATGCATTTCAGGAGATCAGTATAAAAATAGGAAGTAATATGGCACACTCTAAAAATATGCATATACAGTAGTCTTCATCATTGATATGTGAGGTTAAATGCTGCTCACTATGCATACATACTGGACTCCTGGCTGTGTAAACGCTCCTACTGGTGACTTTGCTGTAGCACAAGCATTTCACTGGCTGAGGTTGCAAAGCTTCCACTGTTTCCAAATGGCAAAATCACAACTGTGCCATCACTTACAGTGCCCAAAGTCTGCTTTAAGGATTTGAGAGCTCTCTCTTTAGATATGAAGTACTTCTACGTATGAAGCCACTTTTTTTTTTTGTCCTCAAAGACTAACATTTCAGACCTAGGTACATCTGTAGATAGGCAGCAACCATAATTCCCTGATTACTGATGAGTATCCAACCATAAAGTCAGATACTCAGTTTTAGCTAAGAATACCTGAAAATTTGGCCCTGTGTGCTGAACTCTGCAGGTTTGGAAGCAAGGGTTACATTCTCACTTGTTCCTTTAACTCCTTACTGAAAAAAAAAAAACAAAAACCCCCAAAAAATCAAATCCTCAAATACTCTTCTACATCTAGAAAAGTACAGAGAGATACTATACCATACTTCTACACACAGAAGTACAGAGAAATACTTTAGTGTCTTTAAGGAGTCACTTCACTTTTCTATGCTCCTCAGATAGAGAAATCAGAAAAAAGATGTTTGGTGTCTTCTCCAGATACATGAGGTACATCAGCAAGCTCAGGCCAAAATCTCCCATTACCGCCCACCAATAATTTAATGAGATTTGCATACAGATACCACACACAGACACATATTAAGCAAAATAAAAAGAACATAACTCCATTATAAAACTGAAGTATGAAGACATTCATTTACAGTGCAGTAAGAAAAATAAAACCAGCTTAGGTTTTCACAGTATTGCATGTGACATATTTCATTATAAATGACCTCAGACCCAAACTTAAGACACTTCTAATGCAATGATGCTGATGTCTTTCCTACTGAAGAACTTCACATCCTCCATGACGATAGAACGGAGGCTAAGCTTAGGATACTAGGAATGCTTTGGGTCATAAATTATTTGTTTCCACTAGCAGCCACAATATGTAATACTCAGAAGAAATGCAAGGTGCTAAGCAAACAAAGTGCAAAAAGCTTTCACTTAATTTTTGAAAACACAGTTGGCTTTATGTATTTCTACTAAATGCTTGGGTGTTCATCTGCTAAAGCTTTCTCAGCAACTTGCAAAATACAGAAGCACTTTTATTTGTGGTGATACAGTGCATAGAAGAAAAAGTCAACAACTTCCATTTCCTCTTTCAGATTTCAAGCCTGTGATACTTCTGAGGTAAAGAAGTCAGAGGGTTTTGAACTACTGATATTAAACTAACAATAACATATCACAGCCTCAAAAAGAAGGACTCAGTGTCTTCTGTCCCCCAGTAACAAGTCACTGAGCTGCCTGCTTGGCGTACTACCCACCCCCTGACAATCAGGGTAGTGCTTGTCTCAACTTCAGCCACCTAAAAGTGAGACACATAGTCAAAACTAATTGTCAAGGCATCTGGTTAACACTGAGTAACAGGGTCTCCAGAGAATGATTCATATCCCCTGACTTAGAGAACATTTTAAGATGGGTTGACTTACTCCCTGGAGATGTGCTCTAGAGCGCACCTACATGACTAGCTCACGCTATCTGCCCAACTTCTAGATATTTAAAGTTACATAAAAGTAAACACCGTCCTAATGCCAAAACATCACACACAAAGTATTAGATAAATGATAATGTCAGAGAAATGAGCTATTGCAGAACACTGCAATTAATGTGTTAAATTTAATTCCCTTACTAACAAGCAGCAGATATGAAGAGTAAAACAGTGCAAAGCCAATAACCCCTCTGTCCGTTCTCAGTAACAGTCTCATTTCAGTATGAGTGCTGGCTAATTGGCCGTTTCTTGGCAACCTAGACTACAGTGCATTGTAAAAGTCCCACTCTTATACCACAGAGAGAAGTATTACCTTATTACACTGATTAGAGCGTAAAAAAAGTCTGCAATTTGATCAAAGCAGACCACGGCTACTGTCAATATGTAGCCAAGGACTATGCTCTGTTTCCATGCTAGGGTGGCATGCCATAATGACATCCTATCCGAAATAAAATGCATTTCCTTCCATCCTCAGATTTCCTGAGTAAGATGAGCATCAGCCAGTTTTCGAAGGATGTCTCCTATAACGATTTCAAAATAAGCATGTGATAATAAACCTATGTGCAAAAAACTCAGAAACAGAAGTCTACAAACAGTGATTGCTCTCTATGCCCATACACAAACACACACAGGTACACGTACTCATACAATAAGTTTTCTGCAAAGGTAGGCTTGTCAGTCGTCATGCAGTGCTACACCTGCAATAAAGAAATCCCATCCACAAGACACAATGTCCAAGATACACAACGTTCCCAGCAGGTGATCTGCCACCTTCCAAAGGCACCTACTTCCTTCCGGTTGTACTAGGCATTGGAAGAAACGCTTTGATGAGGATTCCCCTTCTGAGAATCTATTGTCTTGCTACTGCTCCGTGCTTCATCAGTATTTTCAGATTTCGCCTCTGCCTTGTCCATAAGTGCGTTGGATTTGGGAGGCTTGCAAATAAAGCAAAGGAACTTGAAACAGGACAGCAAACCTTCGGAAATGCTGGATGAGAAAAGCTTTTTGCACGGGTGGCAGAACTGGTAGAACACCAACATGAAGAGGACAGCCATGCAGTAACCTATGAGGAGCTGCAAGACCAACAGCGGGGCACAGACATACAGGTAGATATCAGTTTTATAGATGTACCACATCAGCAGGAGGAATGCATTCTCAATGAATCGCAGCATGTAATACACAGTCAGTCGGTACCAATTTTGAGATTTGTTAATTAAGTCAGGATCATTGAGCTTCACCTGCACTGCTGACCAGCAGAACATGTTAATGCCGGCATACAAGAAGGTGAGAAGGCACAAGACAATGGTAGTGCCAACCCTGCTCAACGCCTTCTCTATGTTTTCGGGAAACGGGGACTTGCTTTGCCAGAAGAGAATCCACGGGTAGAAGAAAAAACCAAAGAAATTCACTAGCACAACGGGGAGAATCCAGATCTGAAGGACTGAACTGAAAAGGACCAACACCGTAACCCGCGTAGCGATCTCAAAGCTTCTCCACATGAATATGCAGAGGTAGGCAGCTGGTTTCACGCTGACATCATAATCATCATACTTAATCTTAATAGCCAGTATGTTGCAGCGTAAGGCGCCATATACAATTGACAGGAGAGAAAGGACCATAAAAATACCTACAAAGAGAAAACACAAATCAGGACCTTCAGCTTAGCAGAAGTTAAAGACATTGCATCAGAGTAGCCCAGGTGTAGCTGTCTTCATGATACTTCTGGGGATTCCCACCAGGGTGTAATGCAAAAAAAAAGCCATTCCTTGTATACAGTTCCGGGTTCTTACTCTAACTCTGCCTCCTCTTTTGGTCTCCATTTGTTACTTTTCCAAGTAGCTAGAAAGAAAAAAAGGCACTTTGCAGTCCCAGGTGTCTCTTCCTCCCTGCTGCCCCCCTCCTGCCCCAGGGCTGTTCATACACACACACTGCTTTTGGTAATTAATACAGCTCGTTTGTAAGAGTAGCCAAGTTGTTCTCAGACTCTCACAGCACTCCACAAGGCACAGGGGTGCTACTCGCCCTCTGTACAGATGAAGAACTGCAAAACAGAAGCTGAAATTTTTTAGCTACTTGGGTGGGCAGATAATACAGTGCTTGCGAAGTGTGTGTCGAGGCAAAATGTCTAAGCTCACAGAAGAGGTCTGCGATGGAGCTCAAAATTGACAGCCAGAGAAATTTAAACCCAGAACCATCTGCACTTTTTCTGCCTGTGTAGACAGATACTTGTACATGTGTCTACACTGTGTTTTCCCATACACCTATTTTCCTTATACACATATCTATGTCATGCATTTAAAAACAACACTCCTTCTAAAATAAAATTCTTCAAATTCAGATCAACTTTCTGTATCTCTCGTCTACCCAGAATCCCTCAAGTGAAGTTTTCACAGCATTTAAATTCTGCAGCAAGTGAAGGTGGAGGTCAGTTGTTTCCTAGCCTCCTCCTCCAGATGCAGTAGGGGCAAAGCTTTTGGCACTGCATCTGGAAGGAGTCTTGTGTTGCTACATTAAGTAGGTACAGACACATAAGAACCCTGGATGCACAGAGTAAGCATTCACAGAGAAGTACCTTGATGTTCAGAAGTGCTAACTGCCCAAGGTTTTGTTAGCATTTGAATGCTTTCTCCACAATTTTTACCAACATGCTGATTAAGGGACTAATTTTAGGCACTCCCAATCAATACTTTTAGTTTCAATCTTAGCATTTTGTCCAAGCAAGGAACACTTCACATGCAAATGAATTAAGCACAGTAAAAATTAATCAGTTGTTTCTTTCAGAATTTCAATGAAACCAACCAAGCTAACAGGTCATGCTACAGGGTATTATATTGCATCAAAATAATCAGAGTCAGGAATTCTTGATTATGCCAATTACTTCTGCAATGCTTAGCAACCAGTACATTCTGCAGCCTTCAATTAGTTTATGTGCCCAAATCCTACAAATGAACTGGATACCCTGCTTTGCTATAGCTATTTAGCTGTGACTATAAGGTTTTTTTCCTAATGAAAGTTACTAATTTCTGAGCATCATTTTGAAAGAAAAAAAAAAGTGTATTTCAGGATCTCTGACAACTTTCTAACAGGATTTTCTCTATCATTTTAGCTAACCTCTCTCCCATCCCAATCCTCAAACACCTCTGAATTACTTTGGAAAAGAATTAATACTTTATATCTAAATTTCCAATAGCACTCAATAAGCTGAAAAATATTTCCCATTTTATATGGTAATTTTGCATATGCCAGTTTGGTGGTGCATGCATACATTCTCTGACAATGATTATGTATTTGCTTGTTTAACACAATTTTTTTGATGACTGTTTCTAAACATCTTTCTTAAAGCACTGTACTTGATCTGAGATTTTTAAAACATTGCGTCTTAGAAAACATTGGCTGAAAGCAGAAGAGCACGTGAGCGCAGTCAAGAATACCGTTTGATATCCTGTGGCCCTTTACAAAACCTTTCCTGTAGTTCTGAGCTGGCTCTAGAGCTGCAAGAGAACAAATAACTTCCATCAGCTAATGAAGCAAATGAATATTCTCGGAGTTAAAGAAACAAAAAAACCCTACCCACTGGGGACAGGGTGCTGCTGTCCCGGAACTCTGCTTGCTTTCTGCTTTGATAGGCTGAGGCGTTCATCTTATTACCCAATTTAATTTCAGGGATTCTGTATTAATCTCAAACTTGTCTCAAAAACTCAAGCCTCCGAAAGAGGCATTTCTCCATTGATAGAAACCAGGTCACACTGACTCTGGTTTAATACAGTAGCCCAGTCCTGCTCCTTTCCCAAAAGCTCAGTACTGCCACCAAACCTTCAGTTGAAGCATCGCTTTTAAGTCTGTGAGAAAGATGGTTCGAAGCAACCACAAAGGGAGATGTGGGAGGGTGACATTATTGTTGTTTTTGCCCAACCTGAGCAGGCAAAGAAGTGAAAATTTAAAAGGCAAAATATCTTCCCTGATACAGTCCCAAATCCCATAACAGTCCTCGTAAAGGTGGCATTTCTCTTCTTTCTTCCTGCTCCCAGAAGGCTGTACTTTTCTTACACATCGGAGATGCACACTCACAGCGTTGTTTCGGGAGGCACCATTTTACTTTGTTGAGGTTTTTTTGTTGTGTCTTAAGTTTTTTCAAGACCAGGTCTTTCCCACTTCAGAAATTGCTGAGGGAATTCTGCTCTAGCTAAACTACACCACAAGTACCTGTTACTGAAATCTTACATTCATCTGAAGAACCGTAAGTTATCTATTATATATACTACAGTTTTCTAAACTGATAACCAGAACCCTTGAAAAATAAGGACACTTATTTTGTTACTTATGACAAGACACCTAGATACAATTTTTTGTGCCTTAAGAGATAATTGCAACACTTAAAACCCCCTATTAATACTCAAAAAGTACTCAGAGTATGTTGTTCAAACAATGAGAAAAGTGTGCTGTGGTCAGGGCTTAATGAGTTGGGGAGAAACAACTGTAGAAGCATCTTCAGGCATCTGGTAAGACCACCTACAAAGCACAGTTCATGAACATTAGGAAAGAGACACTACAACCACCAGCAAGTTGAAAAAAAATCATAAATCCAAAGCCTCTATTCTTGAAGATGGCAGTAACTGCTACAAATTTTCATTTAAAGAAAAAAGCACCTTTTGCAGCAGAACAATTTCATTTTTAAATGGTGGGATATCTGCCTTTTGAGATTGTTTTATCACTGCCAAGTCATGCACCCCTCACGAAGTCATGTCCCCATACATGAGAATTCCCGTGTACACATAACAAACAAGCTGAGACCGTGTTATGCATCATTCCTGTTTACTCTGGAGGCTAAATAATACCGGTGCGCAAAAGGTATTACTCCAGAAATAATCTGGCTAAAGCGACTGCAGAAAGTTTCAATATTTCAGAAGGTAACGTACACATAAGAGGAATATGGTTAGGACTCTTTGTTTTTCTGGTAAATGAGCTCTAATAGGCATTGCCATTGTTCCTAAACCACCGATTAAAGAAAAAAAAAACCCCACCACTTTTTTTTTCTTTTCATTTCTATATTTTAGAATTACACCTGCTATAGAGATGGATTCTGGGAGACACGAGCTGAGTACGGCTTTTGCTGGTGGGTTCACTGAATTCCCTGGTGAGCCAGCTTATCTCTGGTTGTTTAACTTCACCCACAGAAGGTCACCTTATCAGTCTGTGATTCAGAATTTATCTCAGCAGTGACTGATAAAAGTCAGGAGTAATAGGGAGTTACAAATCATTATTAAATATGCAATTCTCTAATCATCTGGAACACAGCTCTTCTCCTTGGCAATCATGACCAGTAAGGTCAACACCAGTAATAGAAGAAACACAATAAAAAGGTGACCTTTCCCAAGCAAATGCCATCTGTAGTGAAGTGATTGGAAATACTGCTAATTGCACCACGCAGCAAAGGATTTAGCTGCTTTGTTCGTATCCCATGTGACAGATGGTTACTTGAAGAGCCTACCTTAGCTGTGAAGTACTCAGAAACTGTCTAGGAGCAATGTCTTTCAAGTAATTACTGCTATGACCTTAAACAAATACTTCTGTATAAAGACCTTAACCTGTTGTAATATCCTTATGAGCTGACTCGTCCTTTGGCATGCTGAAGTTTTCCATTCCCTGAGTTGATGGGACAACCCTGACATTATTATAAAGGCTCCTCCAAAAATCTTAGCTCCTTACCTTGGTACCCTGCCAACCAAGGCACCGGAACTGAATAAAGCATTCAGATTTGTAAGGTGTCACTCTAGCCTCAGCCTCCCTAGCTGTGAAGCTGGAAAAGATCCTTGGCCTCGGAGATAGAACAAGGGCTATTTTGTATTTCAGCGGAAACACACCTCTGGTTCACACAGGTGCCAAAGTCCTTTCTTGCACCAAACAGCTGGTTGTCCTATGACCAGCTGGAGTAGGTTCTTCATGTAGCATCCGGCCAGCAAATCGAGACTTTTTTTCGAGGAGCTGGAGCACATCATGGAGCAAGATGAAGAGTCCCATGGTAAGAGAGATGTGTCCTGGTAAGTCCATGTGGTGCACCACTGCTTGGTGAAGGCTTAACAGCTTGGGTCCAGAGATGAGATGGCCACATTTGCATACCAGCTTACTGAATCCTGCCTTTTGATTCCAAACTCAGTCTGGCACAAATAAAGACATTTCACATCCTCAGTCCATATTTGAAACTGCATTCCTGAAAGTACATCTTCCTTACTGCAGCATGGCAAAACATGCTCTACACTGTACCCCAAGGAATTTTCCAGAAAGTTTGCTCAAACCCCAAAATGGAACAGAAGTAAATTTTTTTTCCTCTTCATGAAGACAGCTTAATCCCTCCGTCTGGCTCCCTCTCATGCCATAATGGCCACTTATCAAATAATGTTTTCATAGCAACCCACTTATGCTACAGAAAGCATCACAGCCTAAATCATGATGGTATACATAAACTTGAGAGCAACACCACCATCAAAAGCCATCAGGGAGATGAAGCCCATTGCAATACGTTTGGTTCTTGACCAGGGCAGCCACACCTGCCTGCTGACCCTTCTCCTCTCCCTCCCACCAAAATATGGAGGCGATGACAATAGCGCTACCTACTTCTGGCAGCCGTGATCTCCTGCTGCAGGACACAGATGTACAGCTGGAGCGTGAGCTGGGGCGCTGAGCCGAGGAACGCCTGGCTTCAGCCTGACCCACTTCCTTCTCAATTTCTTCCGAGTACCCATCCTTGGGCATCTGCCTCTTCTTCGTGATGCTGACATAGGGCTCTTCAACTCTGCCAGCACGGAAGTAAATGTAAAAGACTTCCACACACCTACAAGCAAATCAGTAAATAGAGTTACAGGAAAAAAAATGAAACAAAAGCATATGTCTTCCCACTCCTTAGTATTTTAAGCCATCACATACGAAGTTGTTTGTTCACGGAGCAAAGCCTGTGCGTTTTCTCCTCTTGGTATGTTTGGAATATGACATATTTCACCCTTTAAAACATAACTACATGCAACTAGAGGGCAAGAATCTGGGCTGCTTGTAGTATTCAGACACAGGAGGTGGTTTAGCTATTTTCTGTGAGCTGCCTTTGCTCTCTGCTGTCCTACTGAAGTCCTTAAACTACTCATCCACTACAATGTTCGTAGGCTCCCAACCCAGGATCTAAAGTGGAAGTGTTTCTTCAGATTCTGGTGTCTTTCTCTTGGTGTTATCTGTACATCTGTGACAGGGCAATAAAACTGCTTCTCATACCTTTGCCTTAAACAAACAATCTCAAGACATTGGAGAGAAGCTCAGGGTACGAGCAGGTGGACACACCTCAAACAACTGGACTCTAGTCCTGGACTCTTTACCAAGCAATAGTCCCAAAACACAAGTAACAAGACATAGCAGCAATAATGAGAACAAGCAGTTTAAAGTCTCACAACTCTGCATATTAACATTTTTCAAGAAGACACAAATAGAAACCTTACTCCTTACGTTTGCTTAAATTTATTGCACTGTTAAGGAATATTCAACACAAAATATCCTTGCAAAAATATTCTAAATAAGAAGATGCAGTGTTTCCAGTTCCTGCAGCTCTTTATACTTTAAACACAGGTGAACAAAACCCTCTTGTTTACATAGGTCTAACTTACCATAGACTAACTTCTGAAGAAAAAAGTGGTTCCAGCACATGCATTCCTATTCATAAATTACATATTGTTGTAATACACGCTGCCTCTACCCATGCACGGAGAATAACCCATACATTTGGGAGGGAATGGAAATGGGCTAAAGGGGTTGGCAGCAGCAAATGCTGTAGCAACGAGGACAAGTTGGCTCCCTGAGTATAGAAGAAGATAGTACAGCCTCAGCCACATTTATGAAAGGAAAGTTCCTGAAACTTCCTTTCAATGCCTGCTTTTTATTTTGGCAAAAACTTTAGAAAAACTATTCTAAAAGAGTTTCTTGGATATGAAGGTGTCAAAGGTGGGCTTGGGTATCAAGCAGAACCCAAAACACAATGGGGAGCAGTCAATCTTGTCTGCAAAGTAATAACAAGCAAGGATCGACTGAGGTACAGATGAAATCACAAGCGGAGGGTGGTGGGAGAGGAAAGAAACACTATTTCTGCCACATTGCATAGGGTCCTAAAAATACAGGGCCTGCTGTGGAGGAATCCATGTACAGCAGGACCATAAAAGATAAATGGCATTGACTACTGAAAAATAAAACCCCTAAAAGCCCAAATCCAGTGCAGACACAACCTGTTTTCTCTTTTATGCCTAACACTGGTAAGGGCTTCAAGAAGAAAAGCAATTGTGTGAGCAACAGGACCAGTGAGGGCTGGCTTCCAGCCCAGAGGGAAGCTCGGGGGAGAGAAACCCCCACTGCCAGGGTGACCGGCGGCACCAGCTCTGGTCACATCTCCTCCCATGGCCCACCAGGAGTGGTATCCTCTTCTTGTGTAGGCATCATCCTCTGGTGAAGACTGAGCTGTCTTCTTTCTTTCCACAGTGCCTGCTGGGGTTCATCTCCTCCACCTGATTGCCTCTGTAGGTAAGACTTGCTGGAATGCAGCATCTCCAAGTCTCTGACAGGTCAGATTTGGCCAGTGAGTTTTTGTAATGTACAAATAAAGCTTATTTTCTATTTAAAAGCATCTCGCGATCACAGACCTATGCTTGTCTAAGACTCTGAATTCCCGCTTCCTTCTCAGCTTCATTTTTTTCAACAATGGCCAAGCCAGAGCCTAACACAGCCTTTCAGGGGAAAGCTCACGGACCGAACTGTAAAGCAGCACTGACAAAAATTCAAATAAAAGCATACTGATTTTTGCTTTAATAAATTTGATGTCATTTTTTCCCCTAACTGGACAACTAGCAAGTTTTACCTGCTCTGGATGGAGAGCGGTTTTAGGACCCTGTAGTACACCCTTGATTCACTAGGCTTCCCCTACTATTATCACTAAAGCTTTTCGAAGTGCCTGGTGTGCTGGAAGCTCCATTCACAGTGGTGACTTTCTATCTTTCCCTTGTTAATTTTTTCAGTCCCTGCCAGTCTTGTTCCAGGTGAAAGGATCCACACAGCCAAAAATAAAGTGTGAAAAATTAATAAAGCACAACAGCTTCTGAAACCAACAGATTCTGAAACCACCAGATTGATTTTATTACAAAAGAAAGATCCCAGAACATTTTTGCCTTGCTTAGTATTCACAGCCATCTATTCATCCTGAGCTAAGGGCAATTCTGAAGCTATTACAGAAAATGAGATCTCAGCATCAGCCTCTGAACTCTTGCTGTGTGTGATTAGAAGCCGATATAGTCTAGGGACCCGTCTAACAAATACACAGTAATCCCATAAAAGAGATGATAAGATTCATAAGACTGCTGACCATAGCAAATATCATAATCAAAAAAAAACTTGGGTTTTGGAGCAAGCATTTGATTTGTATTTGTTCACTAGGTATTAAGTAGCAGGACATTGTTTGTGATGGGAAATTTTATGTCCATATAGAAAAGCAAACACAATGTGAAATGAATGGTCTGATGAGCAAACCTCAGGGCCAAAGGGGACTTCTACCAGTAAAACATGGTAATAAAAATGGCATGCACAAGCACTCAGATTACATCAGTAATGATGCCCATCTTCTTTCGAGCCCATGCAAGACTATCTCTGGACATCGTATTTTCTGGGGCCAATAACAAATGTACTCAAGACTCTACATGGTGCCACTGCCCAAGCAACTGCTTCAAACAGGAGCAGCCTAGCAACTGACACACTAGAAAGAAAGAGCACCAATCTAAATATTTAAGTACCTAAAGTGTAAGAGGGGCATGGGCACTTGAAGAACCTTGAGAAGGGTTCAGAACAGTGATAAAGAATCAATTCAGATCACATACCTGTGCCATGTTACAACGTTGTCTACAAAGTGTATTCGGAAGGGTTGTCTTTAAATGAACCAGCTTGTTCTTTTTTAGTATGAAACACAACTAAAAGACAATGCATGAAGGCGACTGCTTCAAGGCAATTTTCCTCCACAGTCACAAACTCCACTACAGAACAGGGAATTCCCCAGAAGCCCCAGTTGCTCACTGCTCATTGCTGCTCAGCTCTGGAGGAACAAGAACGGGAGATCCCGACTTCTGCACAATCCACCTCCTGCAACGCAGTGATGTTTAGGGCCCCTTCAACAGACCCTCACATGGCATCAACAGCAGAAGGCAGGCAGCTGGCCGGTTTCACTGCATGTAAAGCAATGACAGTTGCAGTACGAGCTCTAAAGGAACTAAAATTACTTTGAAGAAAAAAAAAAAAAAGTGAGATCTGCTCTCTACAGGGAAAGTTAAAAGGTAAGAAAAAGATGTTACTGCTTTCTCCCCTGCTGCCAAATCTTGGCAGAGAGAAGAGCTGTACTTTTTCAAGGATCCTGATGGTGCCTACAAAGAGTGACTCAGCAGCAACACATTTGTCTTCTGCACAGTCAGTAGGAGGAATAATCCTATCCCTATATGCCTACTGAGAGCAAGCACCTCATTCCATCTTCTAATCATGGATGTGTGGGATTTAAACACAGGCAAAATAATGGTGGTGCGAAGAGGGAGCAGGCAATGAAAACAGGGAACTTCCCACAGCCAACAAGCGCTCCAAGAGCAAATATCTATTTGAGACCTATGCGCACACACTCACTGCAAATGTACAAGCAGATTTCTCTAATGACTCCATTTCCAGTAATTCCTTTTCTTTAGAGAAGTGCACAAAAGACTCATCAGTCCTGCAGATTTACTTACCTGGGTCAGACAAAGATTTGTTACTCACTCACTGTTCTGCCTTCCATCTGCACTGACTTTCTGTTCATTGCATCTTGGACACCTAACACATCTGCTCAAGAATAAAGGAAAAAAAAAAAAAAAAAAAAAACAGAAAGGGGGAGGGTCTAGGCATATTCTTCCCATCTGGAAAAGAGGGAGATGCATCCACAGTTGTAAAGTTTAGACCTAGCAGAATCTCCTACAGTAAGCTCTGCCAATGGAAGTCCTACAAGGAAGAGAGGTTTTGAGACCTCTCCTATTCTGAACTAAAAAGCGGATCACTAGGAAATAGAGAATACCCACAAGAGACAATGCTTCTGCACAATGTGACTGAAGCATTATCTGCACTGTTATAGTTTATTAGATTTCAAACTGCAGAATTAGGTGCCCAAAACATTAATTACTCTGATAATTTCAGCCTATAGGTGTTTTGTTTTGGGTTTTTTTTGCTTGTTTGTTGTTGGTTTTGTTTTGGTGTGGGGGTTTTCTTGGGGGGTTGGTTTGCTCGGGTTTGGTTTTTTTTTGGTTTTTTTTTTGTTTTTTTTTTTTTACTTCATGCAGCTCGCAGAACCTAACTTTGGCTGTGACAGCAGCTCCTCTGGCAGCCTGATGCAAACTTCCTACTGCACCTGCTTACACAGTACAGATACATGTAATTGTTTTTCTGATGCAAACTTCCTACTGCACCTGCTTTGCTGCTGCTTACACAGTACAGATACATGTAATTGTTTTTCCTTATGCCTTGAGAAACAAAGCCTGATCCCATTTAACAACAACAAACAACCTATTGTTTATATCCTTGTCCCACTAAAATCTGAGGAAAACAGCCATTAGTGTTCTGTACAGGGGCCTGTTATATTGGCTTTCAATTTTTTTTTGCAAGGGAAGTTCATCATCCTGCAGACAAAGCCATCTCCTAATTGCACGTTCCTCGTAGGGAAGAACCTGTAGGCCCACATTCAGCTAACAGAGTGCTAGGGACGGTAGTTGCAAATACACCAGCAACCACTTTGCTTTCCTCTCCATGAAGCTGGTATCAGAAGGAAGCACTGCCAAGTTCACACCAATCCGTTCCGGATGTGCCCCTTCAGTACTGACTTCAGTGAATCAGATGGTAAGGAACCGCTGCATCCAGCAGATGTATGGTACAATACCACCAACACCCCCTGCTCGTGACTGCAAGCCCCGACTGTTCAAGCCAGTTTGTTGGAAATCTGCACTCCTCACTTCAAGTCCAGACCTATTCATTGCTTGCAGAATAGGAAAGGTTAAGCAAGTTAACAGGGGTTTCTCTGGCACCCTTCCTGAAGAACTCTTTGCATTTTGAACAGATCTGTAACTGCAGAGCAGTACACTAGCAAAAATACATGCAGTTATTATTCATTGCAGTTGTAGCAGCACCTAAAAACCTCAAAACAATGTTGGTGCTACAGGTGCTGTCCAAATGAACAGGGAACAAAGAGCCAGTCCTTGGCTCAGGAGCAGCTGATAATGAGCCAAAAAGCTCATCATGGTCTTCTCTAAAGAAAAGAAAAATGTATTAAGCCTCTCATTAACACTAGCTATCATTTTAACTCTTTTTTGTGTGCGTGTGTGTGTGTGTGTGTAATAATTTACTTTATGTGGTAAAAGAATCTCCTTTTACAAAAAAAAAAAAAAGAGAAAGTACCCAAATAGATTTTCTAAGCATCCAGACAAATTAGTACTCTCCCAAAGAGTGGCACCAGCCTGAAATGCTGCAGGAATCCCCCACGGTGCCCAGAAACCTGCAGTCGCTTTGTTCCAGCCAACTCTCTGAACAGCCTCCGGCATGCCTACATTCTGGGTATCAGAGCCAGGCCACCGAGGCGGGGGGGGAGGAATTTTACTCTACAAATTGCTCCAAATTTATAGAGAAACTCTTAGGGAGTGACAGAAGGAATCAAAAAAGGGTGCACTAACAGTACTTTCCCAGTACAGCAAGCGTCCTCTCCAGGAAGAGGGATGCTTCCTAATTTTAGTGCTTCCAGTGGCAGCAGCAGGACAGTGAGTGCCTCCCGAACAGGTGGAGTGTGGGTGTTTGGGGAAGGTGGTGGTATGCAAGAAGGTTTTACAAGAAAATGTACTTCTTTCCCCTGTCACATGGAGGATTCAAAATAGCTTCACAAGCCAAATGATCCAGCCTAAATACTCTCCTTCCCTGCCAAGATATTTCCATACCATTCCCCAAAACTTAAACAATTTTTAAGGGGAAAAGGAAGGGGAGAAAAACGTCTAGCTTTTAAGGTGATGAAGAAAACTCACATAATGTACATGGGCTGTCTTTAAACCAGTGCACTGATATTTGAGTCTGAACAGAGAAATTCTAACTATCCCGCATCATGTTTCAAACCAAATCGAAATGGTTAAAAATCTAGTGTGAGCTTTCTTTAAAGCCAGCTGAAGCAGACTGCCCTCTGTTGAAGCATCTCTATCTCACACAGCCTAAAGGCTCTTTAACATTTCATTCTGATGCCACAAGCTTAGAGCCGGGGCAGCTCTGCTGTCTGTGTCCTATTTGACCTAATTTGACCCAGCACTCCCTAAAAGGCCCTGGGCTGTGCCAGGGAGATACAAGAGAGACCAAACGCAGGGGGTGGAGCGAGGCTCCATACTGGGGAAGCAGAAGACGAAGAGCCCGGGACTCTCTGGTGCAAAGGAGCAGAGGTTTGCCTAAAAGGATGGGACAAAACGGCTCCAAGGACAGCGGTCCTTTTCAGCTTACAATGGTTAAAGCCACAGTGAAGTGACGATACAGCCAAAAAAATGTTTTGCCTTCTAGTTATCACCTCAGACTTGTGTGTACTCCAGTCCACACAGGACAGAAAGCCTCCTGTGCAAAGCAGGGAAAGGGAAGGTATTTCATGTGCTGAAAACACTTTGGTTTTTACAGTGCAGACCTACACCCGATGGGAGGCGATCGGTTTCATCTTCTACCAGATAAAACAACGTTTAGTGGCAGTGGATAGGAAGGAAAGGAAGAGAAAAAAAATGTCTGTCTCAGACTTCCCACACTTCTGTACTGCAACCGACAAATAGACACATTTCCCTAAATCTAAAGAGAGGTGGTTTTCCATGAAACTTTTCCTCTTAATTTGTAGAGTACTTCCAGCCTTTAGCAAGAAGTAAGTTTTTCAGGTGGCATGAATGAACCACCCTCTTTTATCAGTAATTACAATTCCAGTTATCCTGGGTCTAGAGAGAAGTTAACATGCATCACTTCGTACTGCCTAAGTGATGCCATGGGGACCGTGGCACAGGCACGCTGCAGCTCTTCCAGAACATTTTAAAACCTCCTGCAAACGCAAAGTTCATAAATCTTTGAGAAAGGCAGGAGTGCAGAGCCGGCGACACACTCATATGCTGCAGCATCAAGGAGAGGAGCAGAGAGGAGAGGGCTTCCATACGCTCACCAGTTTTACAGTAGTGGCTGCAGCTGGGAGCTCACCAACACAGCAGAAAGTGTGTTCTACGCGAGATGAGACTCCTGTTGTAAACAGATAAACTTGATGTTGAGAAAGAAAGAGAAAGTGAAATCATGCTGGGTGGTTAAGGTCAAAGCAGAAGTCTGCGTCTTTTCCAGATAATTAGAAAGAAAATCCTCTAATTTGTTGTCGTTGCTTACATCCTTTGTTTGCTTCTCCCCATCTTGCAGCTTGACATGACAGTCTTGCCTTGTTGGACCTCAAGACATTTAGAATGACAAAATCTGACCTCAAGAAATTGATTTAGAATGACAAAAGTCATGAACGTAATTTTTATTTTGATGGTGGCTATCTCCCTGGTTCCACTCTCACTTTCCAAAAAATGTGGAAGTATTTTGTTCTTAGCTTTTAGAAAATCTGAGCTCTTCAAGAACTTAACTGTTAAGCCTTAACTTAAATCTCTTTAAAATACTAGCAAAACAACCAAACAAGAAAATGCAGCCATGGTTATACGGAAATTCAACGGTTTTGAAGTGCAAGATGTTTGGAAGTTAACAAAACTGTTCACCCGCATTAGTGTGAACAAATCTTCCTTTTCCACACTGTCCAGGCATTTAAAAAGAGTTGGGGATGCTTCTCCTAGCCTCTGCTCCAGCGGTACTGTATTTACTTCCCTTTCTTTTTAAAGAAAAGCTTTGAACGTAAATTTAAAATGAATGCCCCCCCCCGCAAACATTTGGTCATGGGGTTGAACCGCCTCTGGAACTTTTTGTCTGTCTTTTTTTATCCCTAAGGACATTTTCAGTCGGGAGTTGAACCCAAGCTGAAAAACCTCCCAGGCAATCTGGGGCAAGAAGCTCACTTTGGGAAAGAGGAGACAGGCCAAAGCGTTACGGGCGCTTCCAAGACGCGCGGACGGGACGGGCACTGTCGTCGCCTCAGAGTCGCGAGCGAGCGAG